CAGCCTGCAGGCACATCCTGCCAGCCAGCCTGCAGGCACATCCTGCCAGCCAGCCTGCAGGCACATCCTGCCAGCCAGCCTGCCTCCCTCCCTGTCATCATGCTAACGGGTCGAGTGTGTTAAGCTTATCTTCGGGAGCGAGCCGGTCTCTCCCCCACCACCGACAACCCCCCCCCCCCTTACATCCCATACTCTCTCTCAAAGGTCACGCGGTTCAACCGCGTGACTATCCCTCCCTGCCTGCTTGCCAGCCTGCCTCCCTCTCTGCCTGTCAGCCTGTCAGCCTGCCTGCCTGCCTGCCTGCCTGCCTGCCTGCCTGCCTGCCTGCCTGCCTGCCTGCCTGCCTGCCAGCCTGCCAGCTTGCCAGCCAGCCAGCCAGCCAGCCAGCCAGCCAGCCAGCCAGCCAGCCAGCCAGCCAGCCAGCCAGCCAGCCTGCCAGCATGCCAGCATGCCAGCATGCCAGCCTGCCAGCCAGCCTGCCTTTCCCTCCCTTCCTAATTCCACTACTTCCCTCCCTTCCTAATTCCACTACTTCCCTCCCTTCCTAATTCCACTACTTCCCTCCCTTCCTAATTCCACTACTTCCCTCCCTTCCTAATTCCACTACTTCCCTCCCTTCCTAATTCCACTACTTCCCTACCTTCCTGCCTACCTCCTAGCATCTCTCCATACCTCCCCCTCCCTCCTAGCATCTCACCCTCCCTCCCTTTCTGACTAATTCTCCCCCTCTCTCATACTGACTACCACCTAAGCTCTCCCATCCATTTACCGACCAGTCAGCCATCACTGATGCAATGCGTGCATTTGGAGCCGACATGGTGTACAGATGTTTCTTGATTGTTCAGATGTATAAAACAAAAGCACAGAATGAACATTCCATCCTTATGACAATTCAAAATAATAGGTCGTGAATCTGTGAAGTCACAGTGAGCAAACTGGACCATCTCCCACCCACCAACAAAGGCCGGCTTGACGCTTGGCGGACCCCTTCCTACCCCATGACTCCCCAACCCCAATCGGGAAACTGGAAGTTTCGGATAACTAAAGTTCGTGCACAGTAGTATAATGAAGGTATTTTCATGTATCAGGGAATTGCTGGTATCATCTGATTGTATAGTGTGGCTCCATGCTGTGTTTTGATTTCATCACCAAACCCACCAGAATAGCTTATGGATTTGCTATTGTGCATGAAAATGTTGATAGATATATATGATGTATGTATATAGTGTAATAAGAGCAAAAACAGTTTTATTGTTGAAAATATAACATATGTATACATATGAGCACCATACTTTTAAGCATAGCAATGTTCCACGCATTTAACTCTACACATTTCTCAATTTACACACACAATAATAATATTAGTGCGAAAAGAAAAAGGCAAAGATATTGGCAGCAAAAAATGCAACAAAAGTATCAGCAGAACATACCAACTAAAAAGAATGACTACAAAAAGGAAATGGTGGAACAACCACCAAGAACCACATACTCACCTAGTAGTGCTTGCGAGGGTTGAGCTTTGGCTCTATGGTCCCGCCTCTCAACTGATGTACAGATTCCAGAGCCTACTGGGCTCTATCATATCTACATTTGAAACTGTGTATGGAGTCTGCCTCCAGAACATCGCTGCCTAATGCATTCCAACTGATAACTACTCTGACACTGAAAAAGTTCTTTCTAACGTCTCTGTGGCTTATTTGGGTACCAAGTTTCCACCTGTGTCCCCTTGTTCATGTACCACCCATGCTAAACAGTTTATCTTTATCTATTCTGTCAAATTCCTCTGAGAATTTTATAGGTAGTGGTCATGTCTGCCCTTACTCTTCTGTTTTCCACTGTCATAAGGTTCAGTTCCAGTAATCTTCCCTTGTAGCTCATTCCTCTAAGCTCAGGGACAGCCTGGTGGCATACCTCTGAACCTTTTCTAACTTCGTACTGATGCCTCGACAAATTCCACAGGTGGGACACCTTTTAAGTGCCTGAACGATGCAGGAGGGATGATAACCCCATGTCAGGAGGACCAGATGCGAAGAGCAGAGGAGAAAGGCGATCTAGTAAGGTACTGCTGGCTGACCATCTGGAAAAGGCAGATCTGCGGAAAGACAGCCAGATTCGAGCATTATGCAAACAGTGCCAGAAACCAGGGCTGGGCCGGCCACCAAGAATGCCCGCCCCCAGTAGGACTCCAACCTCTCCAGGACTCAAAGCAACAGCTGGACTGGGAAAAGAAGGTACAGAAACCCCATCCCCTCATCCAGTCCTGCCAAAAGGCATCCACCATAAGAGCCTCGCAATTGGGGAATGGTGTTACACAAGATGTGGAACACCAAGACCACGCCAGTGTGAAGAGATCCATATTTGAGCACCCAAACATTTCACAAAGCCAGAGGAGGGAACTAGCAACGACAGTCCACTCTCTGGAATCAACAGAACCGGGACAGACTGTTGAGCAGGAATGTTGGACACACACCCAGGACATGAATGGCACGGAGAGATGAACCCCACGAACCAAGAAGAGGAGCAACCTGTAGCGTCTAGCTCCAAGAGACAGGGTCTAAAGGGACCGAATTTATTATGAATTCTTCATTCACTGGAATGAAGAATTCATAAATTATTTTTCTGTGAATATTTAGTCTCTGTGGCGTAGTGGTAAGACACTCGCCTGGCGTTCCGCGAGAGCTTTGTCCTGGGTTTGTATCCTGGCCAGGGAGGATTTACTGGGTGCAAATCCTTAACTGTAGCCTCTGTTTAACTCAAAAGTAAAATGGGTACCTAGTTGTTAAACAATTCTTCGCGGGGGTCATATTCCAGAGAACATAGGATTAACCCTTTAACTGCGCAATGCGCCTGCAGGCCCACGTCTGGGGTGCGCTACGCGCCTCCGGGTATTTGTATTTTTCACGTTCCATTCAAAACTCCCACAGCTACATGGGGTTCATATCAGCTTCCTCAGGGCTTTTGTAAACAGACCCCATCTTTAAAAAAAATCGTGGTCCACATTCCCGGGTCTGAGAGCCTCAGTAGTGAGTGAGCAACCAGGGCTGGCGCTTGCAGCATGAGCACAGCACTGCTGTTCAGCGTGTGACCACAGCATTGCCTAATAATGTCAAAATATATATATAATCTGTATTATTTAGCCATGATAGTATTATAGAAGAGCCTGAGTGTGATAATGGCTGGGTACGATGTTCAAATATCAGTGATTCAATGCTGTTCACAATGTTCACAGCGCTAGCCACAGCACCACAGCATTATTTCGTCCATCTAGGAAGCTTCAAACGACTTTTTAGGTTCCTGCGTTGTGCGTAGTATTGTGCAAGGAGGAATTTTGGTGAGGAAGGGAGAGAATTGAGGTAACCTCACTATGTGTGGCAGCCACTCTTGTTTTGCTCACCATACTAGCTTCGTGGTTCGCTATGGGGAACACACATGTACATGGGTATATACAGTGTGTATGTATATAGTGTAATAACAGCAGCAGGAGTATGTTGAGAGGAGCTCTTTTGGTGAGGGAGGTGACGTCGTAATCGTAGCGTCGTCTGCTGTGTGATTTTTTCATGCAGTGTATGGTGGCCACTGTACTGTTTGGACACAATACCGGCTTACTTTGCATAGTTCTGGTAAATAAAGCAGGCAGATAGGTATATATAACATGTGTAAATAGTGTAATAAAAACAATAACAGTATGGTGGGAGGAGGAATGTTGGCGAGTAAGATGTTGGAGGGAGGCAGGGCTGGCTGGGTGTGGCTATTCACACTCGCGGTGTTCTGAGTGTGTTGATGGTGAATGTATATAGTGTGTGACAGTGTACAGTGTGTACACATGTTGTAAATATACATAAATGAACATGAAACATTGGTGTGAATAACTGTATGATGGGAGGAGCAATGTTGGCGAATACAATGTTGGAGGAGTAAGGGAAGGTTGGCTGGGTGTGACAGCTCACACTCGCAGTGTTCTGAATGTGTTGAGGGTGAATGTATATAGTGTGTGACAGTGTATAGTCTGTAAATAGATTGTATATACTGTATACATAAATTAGCATGATACATGGTAAATATGTGCAACATATGTGTACACAAGTGTCATGCATGTAACAGTGTCCTCAGACAGTACGGATGTTTTACTGCCATAATATAGTGTACGTGTTCATTAAACATAGGATTAGCACGTAAAAACAAATAAAATGTATTTGGAACTGTGCGCAAAAAATGAACAAAAATATATTCGCGGCAACTCGCGCGCCCTACTGGCCCCGGGAGCATATGTCACGGGCAAACGGGGAATGATGACGTCACGCGCCAACTTACGAACCCCATAGCAGGCAAAGTACAATTTTAATTTTTTTTTTTGACATACCCATACTGAGGGAAGGGTTTTTGACACTTTAAAAAAAAAAAAAAAAAAAAAAAATTCAAGAGAATTTATTTCCTGCGCACTGGGGGGGGGGGGGTTAAAGGGGTTGTCATATTTGGAGGCGGCACAGTTAAAGGGTTAAGGACTTGCCCAAAATGCTACGTGTACTAAACAACTCTTGTATATATAAATAAAATAAAACAAAATAAAATAAATTTTTATAGAGACTGAAAGAGTTTGAGTAAATCCTGGCCATTATGTAATGTATGCACCCACCAATACATAATAAATAGATTATGGATTTTTTTTAATAAAGATAATTTTTACCTTTCCATAATATTATTCTTCCGGTGGCCCTTTACTGCCCAAGGATCAAGCTCTTGCAAAAACTGTGAAAATCACACTTGTAGAAGTGAGACTCGAGGAAATGCTGCATTTCCCTCTCTTTACTTAACAAGTTACAACTTTAGTATAAAATGAAGTCAATAATGTTTAGGGATATGCATAAATATAACACCAGAATGTATCATCAGTGGCAGCCCAAATTAGTTCAGAGCACACAACAGACATGGATGATCGACAAATCAACACTGTATATTCTACCGTATTATTCGACGAGTGAAAAACTGATATATAAACATACCTTTTTTGTTAGCATGTGCTAGAGCAATCTCATCATTGCTTTGCAAAACTATCTTATTTCCTTTGCCAACTTGTTGTTTGTTGACAAAGGTTCCGTTACATGAAAGATCCTCAAGTATCACCACGGCTTCTGATTTTGACTTCCATTCTCGGAACACCCTACAAGATAATATATTAATCCTCATAAATTTGAAATCTTTTGTTCTTGAGTTAATTAAATTAATAACACATGTCTTAAAGCACAGCATAATATATCTAATAATAATAATACCAATCATTAGCAGAAATCTTAAAATAAGAGTAACCATTACAGGTATGAATGAAAGCAGAACAAGGGAGATGATTAAATTCTTGCAATGGTTTCTGAAAGGCTGAAATGCCAGTATTGATGTAGAATAAAGAATAACAGTATAGACTGTCCAACCTTAACACAGGCGAGTGTCATGAAAACTGAATGACATACTTGGAATTTGGGTTTCAGAAATTACAGTATTTAAGATTCCTAAGATGCTGCTGTGTAAATGGTTTAAACAGCATCACTTACATGGAACTGGCGAACAATTTATAGAACTTAAAAGTGCAACAGGAAAACTGATATTAAGGTAGGCATTAAGGACTTTAGTGCAGGTGATGATTGGGTAGCAAGATTTCAGCAGAGGCATGTCATCAGCAAAAGTTAAAATATTTCTAGTGAGGCTTCAAGTGCTAATTTGACTTGTGCTGAGCCCTTCAAGAATAAAATCAACAACTTGTGACTAATGATTCAAGATATTTCCAAGTAAACAATTCCTATGAGACTGGGTTTCTGTGGAGAGGTGTACTAAATAAAACCTTGATTTTACTGAACTACTGTACATTCTCCCTCTAATGAGCTCTGCTCTATCAAATCCCTGGTTGGTTTAAATGGTTCAGTGGAACATACAAATATTTGATTAGAGGATTGTTTACCCAAGTCATCACCGAGGCTAAGCATTAGGAGGTTGCTGTGTTATTATTCATGATCCACCCGTTCAAAGTGTAAGCAATTTTACTGTGCTTAAAAACGTTTAATAAAATTTATATACGAACACAAAGCTATACATAAAATTACAAAAGATATCAAAGTGCTTCTGAGCCACGAGTTAGTATACATCTTCAAACACCACCGAGGGAGTCCTGGGGGATGATCGGGCCATGGGGACGCTAAGTCCCGAAACCAACCAACTCAAGGTATACCACTGTTGGTTGGCTTGATCAGAGATGTTAGTGCCAATTATCTACACTGTAATTTGTCTCTTTTTATTAGCAAGATCTCCTACTGGAGCAATCATAATGCTGAAAATTGTAATAACAGTTGAAATACATTTCCTTTTGAATGAAATTTGATGACAAATGAGTGATGTAGCTGTCTCCTGGCACACCATGACTGGCGTCGAGGTATGGCATGCTACAGGAATTTTATTGATAAAATACAAGCAGTGAATGTAATGAAACACCAGTTTCTGGACAAGCCCTGGAGGCTCCCTTTAGCTTCCTACTGATACAGTGCTATATAAGTTGAGGTTATCAGTTCTTGTTGCTTACCAGCGACCAAAGTCAAAACCTGGCCCCCTCAGAAAAGTGGAGGGAGCAAATGCCTATGAGCATTTTATATTTAAAGTATGTCATACTTGCCATTGACCAGGGAAGGACCCAGAAAGATAGGCGAATCAAAACAGACCACTGTCTGGTTGAAAAATGCGAGCTATGTCCTCAAAATAGCAAAAGAACTCCCCAAGAAAGAAAACAAACAAGCTACACTTCATCCAACTAGCCCCCAGCTCATCAGCACTACCCTCCATCCCCCTCTGCAGGGGAAGGGAAAGAGCAGGCCTCGGTGAGCGGCAACCCACCAATTCAGTTCTTGAATGATGAAAACCACCAACCAAAAGGAGGGAGGGTGTCAAGAGCTTGCCCAGACATAGGCATTTCATTACATTCAACACTGGTTTTCTGTGGGAAGCCCCATGGGCTCCCTGAAGCTAACTACCTACAGAGAAGGCAAACGGACTTACCAGGAAGGGGGCAGCACCACAGGTCTCAAAACGAGAAAGACACACAGCCGCTGACAGCCACCCCAAGGCCACACAAGGCCGCAGAGGAACAGGGACGTTCACCAGATACCTGGTGGCCAGGACCCTGTTTGACTTCCAAAACCCCTGTACTTACAATATAAGTACGAGATTAGTAGATAAATGCAACATGATGCTTGGTACTGTCGAGTGTATGCAGAAAACTAAACTGTTATGTTCACTTTGTGGACATAACGGTACCGAACTGTTCCAAAATGTATTTGTTGAAATCAGGCAAGAAACCACCACTCTGTACATTTAATCTTGCTCTGTTGACACAATTACTTGCTAAGTTTGGCCAGGAAGGCAGTGCTGTGACAAGAGTTTGTGCACCAACAATGTCTCACGCTGTTTCCAACAGACTGAGCTACAAAGATGGCTTTGCACTACACAAGCTTTGGTTACATACCAAGTACTGAAACACGTGACAAAGGTAAATGTGATTGCATTGTTTGCAAGCACACACAGCAAAAAGACCAGAAGCAAAAATCTGTGTACCTGGTGCATAGAGTGCAAAGTTGCTTTGTGCACTACCGACTGTTTGAATGATTATAACAAATTCATGAAGTACTGAGTGTGTGTAATATAGTGAAGAATCGTTTGTGTGATAGTGTAAATTATATATATCAAATGAAAACTGAACAAGTAATATTGAGACTGAACATTTTAGTAGACACATTAGAGACAGGTGTATAATTATTTCTTGGACCAATACAGATGTTCTACTGAATAGAAATCATAAATGATATCCATGTTCGTATGAGAAAAAATACTTGAGCGATAAAATATGAAAAATGAATAGTTGTGGCAACTCGCAGGTTTATAATCGGCCAAGTGACCATGCTTCCGGAGACCCACTACGAAAGTTTATTGTAACGCTCACGCACCATCTTATCTTCACTGCAGTCAAAATCATTTCTCTTCATTTGTATTATATGTCTGAGCAGGCAAGGAATTTTAAAAAGAAAAATTTGAGGGGAAAAATTATTTTTACATGCACAACAGGACTGTCATATTAAACTAATGCGCAGAACAAAGACTAATGGCTTCTGGAATTGAAAAACAAGAGCTATTTGGAGAGGCTAGAGGTGTTAAGAAAGCCAAAGCTAAAAGATAGAAGAAAAAGAAGTGATACAAAACAATAACAGGTATCAACAAAATTGACAAATAGAAGTTCTTGAAGCCTGCAACTTCAAGAACAAGCGGAGCAGACGGTTCGAACAAGTCAAGTGAGAAGGCGGTGGATGCCAAAACAGTCAGTAGTTTTAAACCATCATATGACAACGAGTACTGGGAAGACAGTACACCATGAGTGAAGCTCTCATCCTGTAACTACACTTAGGTAATTACATACCTGTACACACATACTTCACATTATATAAAATATTATTAAAACTGCTATTGATTTCTCAATACTGTTTATCATTAGATCATAGAAAGAGTAAATAAAACAAGAAATAACGAACTAAAAAGGTGAGAGGTATTATCATTGGACCACTTCTTTATCCAGCTGTCCACCCAGCCCTCCCACTAATAAAACCATCTGACATCAGGACAATTACACATTAATCAATGTTACATAAAGGATTTATTTTATGATACATTTTCTGGGCGAGTCATGGAGGTTTCCCGGAGCTTACCTGGCTGATATGTATTAGACCATGGCATTAGTCAATTCAATTGGAGTTCTTGCCTACTGGGGACCACGTGCCAGAATCTGGGCCCCCTCAGAAAGTTACGAGGAACAATGGCCTATAGAAACCTCCATGTGGTTGGAAGGATTCCATTTCTGCCATCGACTGGGTTAGGCACCCAGAAAGGTAGGCGTCCCAAAACAAACTCCATCTGGAAAGCATCGAACCCCCTCGGTTCAAGCAATAAACCACTGGAGTACAGTTCGAATGAGGCCAGATTGTCGATTCGCGAGCGAAATGAACCCTCCGAAGCGACAGCCACACTGCCGTAAACTCCAGAGCTGTGCTGTGAGCCTGAACCTCGAAAAACCTGAAGAGGAAGCCAGCGATGCAACAGACGATGCAACGCTCCCCGGAGGCCAGACCCAATGATTATGTAAGCGGCAGAAGGGACATCCCCGTAGGGAGCAGAACAGCCGCCGAAGCCAGACTCAACTCGGCGGGTAAACCAGCATGGCAAAGTTCAGACTCTTGCACAGCTGCTTGAGCAACCGACGAGTGACCCGGGAGCCCTCCAAAAACAGCCGAAGGTGAGACCACAGCCGCAGCAATGACGCCGGAGGAAGAGCCAAGGAAACGGTCCGAGAATTCCCCACAAGCCCAAGCCAATTCCAAACCTGAGAGGAAACCAGATGGGACTTCCTCCAGTTTACCAGGAACCTGAACCCGGCAAGCTGGGAAAGAACCAAACTCCTGACGAGCAAACATGCAGACAAGCTGGGAGCCCACACCAGCCAGTCGTCGAGGTAGGCCAGAACCCGAACCTTTGCCAGATGCAAGTGGGTCACCACGACCCAGATAAGGCGTGTGAAAACGCGAGGTACCAGATTCAAAACGAAGGAAGGCAACGAAAGCAGTAAGCTTGCTGCCCCACGACAAAACCGAGCCAGTCCCTGAACCACGGATGAATTGGGACGTGCCAATGTGCATTCCGGAGGACCAGACACACCATCCAAGCATCTGGCACTAAAAGAAGCTGGACCTGGGACAGTGTTCATCCAAAAGGAGAAGCAAAAGACAGAAGAGGTTCAGACGGAACAAGTCCAGAATGAACCTCAGATCTGCATAGTCCGGTTTCGAGATTAAAAACAGGCGAAAAACTAACCTGAGGGATGAGGTCGTTTTGACCATGCCCAAGTGCACCCACTCCAAGACGACCTGACAGAGTGCAGGAGAAGAGGACTGGAGGAAACAACCCAAAATGCCCACAAATTGTTGGACCGGGCGTGAGCATACAGCACAAGCCTCACCACCCGTGAAAGGGCAGACGCCCCTTACAAGAAGCCAACCAACGTACAGAGCGAATACTTCACCGACCAGATGCCACTGACTCCGAAGGCAACGTCAGTTCCAAAATTGGCACCAATGGCCTACCACGACCAAAGGAACCCTGAACCCTGGCATGACTCCTCCGGGAAAGACCCCCCCCCCCCCCAGTTATCCCGGAGAACAAGTCAGACATAGGGCAACAGGTAGATGAAGCCGCTTGCAGATACTGCAAACAGCAACGAACAAAAGGCGGTGAAAACCTAAGAGCCAAGGGCCCACGAGGATTCCAGAGAGTGAGCAAGCACAGCCTGCTGGCATGTGAGGTGAGAAGCAAGGAACAGACACACAGTCTCCTTCAGAATCGGCGCAAACAACTTCAACAAGGCAGCCGATGCCCGAGCCGTTGAGGCAAGTGCACCTGACACTGGCCCGGTACCCAGCGTCTCCACATCCTCCTCAAGCTAGTCCGAAGACAGCTCGAGCAGGGGAAAAAAAAAAACGCAAAACCGAAACCCCCGGACGCGCAAATCCTCAACCACCAGGGATGCCAAAAGAACGGGAACCTGTACGTGAAGCTGCACCTGGCCAATATCCTGAGGAAGAACGGGGGCAAATAAGCACTCACTGAGGTACTCCTACTCAACTTCCAGGTAACCTGAACCATATAAGTTTCCCGCCATTCAAGCGTGCGGGTCCAACAGAATGAATGCCATGCCCACAAAGAAATTGCAGTCCTCTAACCAGGATGACTCCGGCACCTCGTAATGCACTCAATAATGAAAAGCAAAACCAAACTCAAACGAGGAAGGGTCCATTAGCGAGGCAAAATCTGGGTCATGCAGGAGTTATGCCACAATGGTCTCCCAAACCTCCTTAGGTGGGATGCAGGAAGCCAAAAACCTCTGGAAGGAAGGGACCGAAAAACCCAAGTAAACCTAGAACTAAACCCGGGGAGGAGCAGGCTCGAATGCCTCCATCGCCGAACCAGATGGGGCAGCCCCCGATATCCCCCCCACCCCCACCCCGAGTCTCACCAACATCTAAACCCTGCCCGACTCCGAAACCCCCAGACGTTGGGAAGCCGGCAGCAGGTTAGCAAGACAAACAACAGCAGGGGAAGGACGAGGAAGCACGGATAAAACCAATGTCGAAGCGACTAACACCCCCCCAAGTCAGAGTCCCTATAACCAAAGCAGGGCAGCCGCGGGGCATCCGGAAAGGCAACCAACAGGTAACATGACTGAGGCAAAACTGGTGTATGTCACCCTGAGACAAGGGGACAGAGTTGCCTTCAAACTCACACAAGGTGTGATGGGATCCAGAGGATGCATCCATTAGACCAATGAGCCCCAATGGGGTTTTGCAGAGCCCTTAGGCTGACTGCTAAGGGAGGCCCAGGTAAGGTACTGCTAACCGGTTGGCCCAATCTACCAGGAGAACGATTAAAGCTGAACCCCTGTGATGTGTACAATCATGGGGACCTAGCAGAGGACCACCATAATAACAGGGCGAACAACGACCAAGTGGCAGACCCCCACCAGGCAAGAAACAAAAAGAAAAGAAAACCCCTCGCAAAAGTACAATGTCTCCAGGAGGAACAGAACTGGCCTTTGTGAGAATAGGCGACAAGCTGCACAGTACCTTACTCCCCTACCAGCGACGATACTACCTCCTACTCAAGGTCAAACAGCGGCTATGAAAACCCCAGCTGACCCCAAGGGAAGGTAATCATCGAGCAGCAAAAGATCCCTATGGAGGTAGTCCCCGAACGACTTGTGGAAGATAACCCCAAGCTGCAAGGGCAGTACAGTACTTACAGGGTATCTAGGGAAAATGGCCCTAGGCACATGCAGCCCCAGTACTCCATGAATTACTCCTAGCTCACACACCACCACCACACTGCAGAACAGCACCACAAAGGTACAGCACTGCACAGAGACAGAAGCCAGAGTTGAACGACCACCACAACACATCAGCCTCAGAACTGAGGTTGAATGGCCAGCGCAGGGGTCTGGTGCTCTCCATTTCCCCTCCCAGGGAGGGGGGAAACTATGCAGACGGCAGCAGCTGTGACGTCATGCTTGTTTGCTTGTTTTCAGATTGGGGAGTTCTACTTGATAGTTCGGCTTTCGGTAGCAATTTTGAACCATGTGGAGCATGTTTTTTGACGCCTACCTTTCTGGGTGCCTAACCAGGTCGATGGCAGACATGGAATCCTTCCAACCACATGGAGATTTCTATAGGCCATTGCTCCTCATGCCTCTGAGGGGGCCTCGGAGGTTCTGGCTCGTGGTTCCCGGTAGGCAAGAACTTCAATCGAATTGACTGATGCCACGGTCTAATACATACATATCAGCCAGGTAAGCTCCTGGGAGCTGGAGAGGCTCTCCAAAGAAAAAATATTAACAATTGGGATGAGAAGATTATTCTTTTTAGCTTTATATTTGATTTTCTTTTCAACATTCTGCACCTACAATTGTTATACTGTACTAAAAGCCATACAAGACAGTGCAATTCCACAACAAATTTTTGCTTGTGACCTTCTTTAGCACTTATGGATAATTGGGGGGTTAAAGAAATGTTACTCCACACTTACCTGAAGTGCTTCTTAGAGATAGCAGGAAGGAAAGAACTGCCAAAGTTGTCTTTGCAGAAACGATAGTCTGCTTCACCTCTACCAAATGTGTACGAGTTGTTGATTAGGTCTGAAAAAATCCAGCAAAGAATGTAACAAAATGCCTCTCGGGGTAAGGGAGGGGGGCCTCGGCGGCTCCCTGTTGCTAGCCGCACTGAAACAACTGTATACATTGTCATGTAAATCCCCCTGCACAGCAGTGGAACTGCCTCTTCCACTCACCTTTTATGTCTTCACACTGGAAGTCCACCTCTATGACAACCAAGACGAGTCATTCGACCTGCCACACGCTCCACAACCCCCGTACCACCCAGTGCCTCGTACAGCTCACCGGTAGGCAGAGCGCTTCCGCTCTCTAGCAGTTAGCCTCCGCAAACAAGCAGTTTGTGGCCTAGCAGTTATACAGCCTCTACCCATCTGTGTCACCAGCCGCAAACTAGCAGTTGGCCGCCAGCCGCTTGTTACTGCTCACATTGACACCGGATGTGATGTCATCACCGCCAGAATATAAATAGAGCCCCACAACCCAGGGAAGCCAGTCTCTCCCTGGTGCTCTTGGGATCATCATAGGTTCTCTCACCCGTCGTCTGCTACCAGCCTACGTCATGTGTCAGATGCTGTGGTGGTATGGTAGAGGTATTCAGCTTACCAGTATATTAGTATTATTATGTTGTATTCATTGCACACCTATTTTATTCATGTTAAAGATTTCATATTCCCTTGTTTCAGTTTTGAATGGTATGATCACCAAGTGTTCTCAGGTACCATTTTTGTTCATTAATATTAAATTGCTTTAATTATTTATGTGATGATTTTCTTATATTTCTTCCTGCAACTTGCACACTGCAAGGGCCAAAGCAGCATTTTTTTTTTTAATGTGACAGAGCCACACCACCCTGGCCCAGTATTGCTGCACTAGGGCATCACATCACAACATATAAGTCACATCAGCCCTGGGAGTCCTTAGTAGCCTACCACAGATTTCCCCCTTACAAAGGTGCAGGGAGTAGGGGATTCATGATCGCACCAAAAAACCAGCGTTGAATGTAATGAAACGCCGTTTTCTGGGTGAGTCGCGGAGGCTCCCCGGAGCTATCCATGGCTGATATGGATACCCTAACTATTTTACATCAGTCGATGTGGGTGGAGTTCTAGGCCTACCGGGGACCACGAGCCGGAACCTGGCCCCATCAGAGAGGCACGGGGAGCGATGGCCCATAGAAATGCACATGTGATTCAGAGCATTCTATATCTGCCATTGACCGGGACAGGCACCCAGAAAGGTAAGCGCCACAAAACAGACCCCTATTCTGGATAACAACAAAAAATCGATAAACGAGTGGACAGAACTCCCCCAGGAAAACGAACTAACAAGCATGACATCACACGAGCCGCGCCGCATGTCTGCGCAGCTCCCCCCTCCCCGGGAGGGGGAAGGGGGAGCCCCAGACCCCCGCGCCGGCGATCCCCGCCCCAGTTCTGAGGCTGGATATCAAAACCGCAAAAAAAAAAAAAAAAACGCCGACCGGAGGGTGGGAGGGTGCCGGGGAGCCTCCGGGACTCACCCAGAAAAATGGCGTTTCATTACATTCAACGCTGGTTTTCTGGGGGGGAGCCCCTACGGCTCTCCGGAGCTACTTCACCAAAGACTACCTAAGAAAACAAGGGGACATACCCGGGAGGCGGTCGGTGAACCACTCCTCAACACGAAATCGAGACAAACCCAAGGACCCCTCCGGAAAGCAGCAGGCACATCATTTGCCAGAAAAAGGGAGAACGGCCGCAGATGAAGAAACCTATGACCACGACCATAGGAGCCAAAAACCACTGCACCTGAGAAGAGCATGAAGCTCTGCCACACGACCCCCAGAGGCCAATGCCAACATAAAAAGAGAGCCGAGGCAAAGCAAACCTGACCCCAAGGAGCCACAACCACCAAGGAGAAGAAAAACAGGAGAACACCCTTTCCAAAGACCAGGACGGCACAGGCAGTGCATAAGCAGGCCGGAGGTGAAACAACGCATGAGACAGCCTGCAAAAGGAACATCGATACCGAAAGCTAGCAGCAGAAACCAAGGTGCCAGATCCAGGAACGGCCCCAAGCGCCTCTACATCCTCCGCAAGCCAATCCTATGACAGCCCCAGGAGGGAAAAGAAAACGCAGGACCAAAACTAAAATGCCACAAGCGTGCAAGTCCACCACCACAAGTGCAGCCGATAGGGAAGGAACCCGCATAAGGAGCCGTCCCGCACCAACTTCCCGCAGAAGGTCAGAAGCGAAAAAGACTCATTAAGAGGAGCAAAATCGCCCCCAGGAAAACGAGTAGAGCCGTGACAGCGCGAAGAGAAGAGATATGCACAAAAGAACAAGAAGGCCAAACACCCAGAAGCTGCCGGGAATAGGACCCACAAGCCCTAGAAAGAACCAGAGGGAAGCTCAACCGAATGACGACAGACGGACCAGAAAAACGGGAAGGAGCAAAACCGTCCCGAACCTTCGAGAACAAAAAGAAGCAAACACAAAAGACGAAGGCACAAAAACCCCGTCGCACCCGAGACCAAAAGTCATGCAGAAGCCCCAAGAAGAGGGGGACATGACGGAGAAGGCCCATCCCGGAAAAAAGGGGCGAAGACCATAGAAAAGCACCCACCGACAGGACAGAAACAACGGGCACAATGGACAAGGAAACCGAGCCCAGGGAGGGGCCGACGCCCACAAAGCACATGCGGAGGGGGGAACGGAAAACCCCACACCACAAAACTGCAAGCCCCGCCCAGAGGGGTAGAAACACCCCGGCGGGACCAACGGGGCCTGAGGCCCCTCACGTGAGCCCCACCGCAGCCCCGGGAACCCACCCTGCAGGCCCCGGGGCCGAGCTGTCCCCTCAAAGCCCCAGCGCCAAGAAAAACCCTAGGGCAGCCGTGAAAAACACTAAGGAAGGGAGCCCATTAGGCTCTGGAACTTGAACCGAAACCGGAGGATAGGCGAGGGGCGAGACGAAGACCCCAAGCTCATCCCCAGCCAGCACAACGAGGCGAGGACAAGACAGAGAATCCAAGGAACATGGAAAAATCAGGCCCGGCACAGCAAGACCGGCAAGGAAGGAGGGCCCCAGAGGGGGGCACGGAAGGGCCGAACATAATGCCACAACCAACCCCGACACGCAGCCGCAGTACCAAAACCGCAGCAAAACGTCACCACACTCCCCGAGGAAGTGACAGAGAAGATAGATAAATCGTACACGAGTGGCACACAAGGGGACACAGGCAGAAACCGAGCACCCAACTGAGCCACAGGGACGGTAGAAGAAACGTGTGCAGTGTAACAGGCAATCGAAAGAACACATAAGGCAGCCCAACTTGGGCTGACCCCATACACAGCCCCAAGAGCAGAGACAAGAGTGCCCATGAAGCACAGAATCCGCTCGACAGGCAAACGACAGGGGAGGTGGAACCAAAGAGCCAGAACCCAATCCTGCAAGCACAAGGAGGCGAGCACAAAACACCCTCGACACAGGAAAACGTACCACCGAACAGGCACCCCACTGTTGCACTGCGGAACAAGGTGGAGGCGGGGCCCCGAACTCAAGCAAGGTTAGACAAGCATAGAAGAGGGGCAGGAGGAGTACAGGCAGGAGCCGCCTCGGAAGGGCCAAGAGGCCACCTGCAGACACCCGTGAACCGAGGAAGGAATCAGGTGGCGAGAACAAGAGCTGCCCAGTATGGGCTAATAGCCCTGCAGTAGGCACCTCAGATGATACGGTCCACGTTCTCAAGTACGTATGTACACCCATTCCTACTTCCAAAAACAAAAACAGCGTCAGGACGAAGGAGACGCCAAACCGCACCAACTCACCTGCAGAACATAGGCGCTGAAGGGCCATGACGCAAGCTTTTGAGTCCGTAGCCGCCGGAGGTGGCCAGGGCGTCCATGCTGGAGAAGAGGGGAGCGGCGAAGGAGGCTCCCCACCCTAGAACGCAGGGAAAAACCTCGTGATGCCAAATCAAATCTACTAGATTTGATCAGTTCATTCCCTTTATATACTGCACATGCACAACTTGTTCTAATACCAGAACCTGGTCCCCCTCACATAGGTGCAGATAGCAGGTGACACTGCCACCCCACCAGGAAAGCATCCAAAAAGTCATGAAAGGCCACATCAATACCAGCAGGTGGAAGTGCTGCAGCTGGAGGAAAGCTGCCAGAGGAAGAGAAAAATTATACCAACCAGGAGTCCCATATGATACACAGCTAAGTCTGAACCTGGGACAGAACCAACCTGGATTTCCACAAGTTCACCAGGAACCCAAACCCAGCAACCTGGGAAAGAACCAGATCTCTGGCTAGCAAACATGCAGACTGATTGGAGGCCCATGCTAGCCAGTTGTCAAGGTAGGCCAGAACACAAACCCCCCCAAAAAAACAGACAAGCTACTATGATTCGAGCCAATTTTTTTAAAACACGGGAGCCGGATTTAAGGCAAAGGGAAGAATCCTGAAATGGTAAGCCTGACACCCCACTATGAAACCTTGAACTTTACGATGTACAAGGACATTTGTACTAACAAGTATCTCGGAAGTCCAGGACCCCACTACCAACATAAGGCAAACCTGAGGCCAAAGTGGTCATGCAGAAAGTGGAGCAGGGACGGAATTTGTCCAATCCCAAAAGATCGAGGATCAAATGGAGCTCCTTGGTTACCTTGAGGTGCTTCCGGGGCTTAGCGTCCCCGCGGCCTGGTCGTCGACCAGGCCTCCTGGTTGCTGGACTGATCAGCCAGGCTGTTGGACGCGGGTGTTCGCAGCTTGACGTATGAGTCACAGCCTGGTTGATCAGGTATCCTTTGGAGCTTTGGAGCTCAGCTCAGCTGAGTCCCATTTCAAAACCAGGAACAGGGAAGACACAAAGTGAAGAGATGTGTTCATATTGACCACACACTGGAAGTAAGCCATTCTGCAATTACCCTGTGATGGCAAGGGTAAGAAGCCTGCCTCAACAGCCTTGACTCACAGGAGAAGGGCACGACCAACCAATACCACTACAAGCCATGTGAAACGACCTGGAAAATCCACAAATCGCAGAATCAAGAGTCGGTAAACCGAGCAGGCTGCCCCTCCCCATCACCTCCATCAAAGGAGTGAACTGCGAGAGGGCCGGTGCGAATCATAACCAGCAGAGCCCTCTGCATAGTATGAGAGCAGTGCTGATGAGCAGACAGAAGAACTGACAGCAGGATATGTACATGACCCCAAACCTGGTTGCAATGAGGGCCTACCCTCGCCACCAGCACGCACAGTCAAAGCCCTATCATTTTCATCTATTAACTTTCTCCAGGAGGTATTTTATAAATACCTCCTGGTATTTATGTGTCATTCTATGATAACATTCTCAAAAAGAAGTCTACAAAGTCATCGACCTAGATCTTTACATAGATTTCTATAACTGTATTCCATCTTAGAATATTGTAGTCATATGATGGGACGAGCTGCTTCCATACTTGAATTTGATCAATCATATCCTCTTCCGATGTTTACATAAGATCTAAAATGTTGTTACCTCAGGTGGGCTGTCACATGCTGTATGGAGTTCTGTACCAAGTCAATAAATTTTTCTCCCTCTCCTTGTGATGTTAGATTCACCCAATCCATTGCCTCAGTTCCCCATTATAAGAGCTTGGGCTTCAGCTGCTGCATTTATCACATTATGCAGATCTGTAACTTCCTCTGCTGTTGGCTGTTGCTATGTCTGCCCCTGTAACATACTTCCACTGATACTTTGGTACCATTTCAAGCAAGTATATTGCACCACACAGATTCCAAGGATCCCATGTTGTTTAATTCTTCATTACTTGTTGCAGTCAGGTCCTCATATATATAGCATCACACCATCACCTGCTATTGTTGTTTTGTCCTTTCTGAAAGGGGGGTGTTATCCTGGGAAGAAGGAATTCCATTTCATTTATGTCTTCTCATACCCATGTTTCACCGACGCCAATGATGTTGGCATTTTGAGTCTCAGTGTATGCACAGTACATCAAATATATTTCCTATGCTACTGGCATTTATGTAGAAGCAATTTAAACCTTCTGCCATTGTTCTTAAAGGGCTGAGGTATTATTCTTGTTTTCTGCACACTATTACTCTATGTTGACCCTTTGGATTTGTGCCTGCTTGTCAGTGGAGATGTATACGGGTTAATTCTGCCTCACTGATTGATGGACTACATTTTCTTTTTCTAACTTGATCACCTGTCCTTTTCTTATCTTGAGCTTCAAATTTTTGTTTTGAGTTGTGTTTCTCAAGTCCTTTAGTTTTTCTTTCATTTTTGTAATTTTTTGCCATTTCTCCGAGAGAATGACATTTCTCTGTCATATGTATAGTATATGTTATTATAATATCCAGATGTCTTAGGTTTTATGCATTTCTGAGTACTGTAGTTTTTATTCTGTGCCCGAGATTGGCAAAGGTTATACGTACCAAGTTCACTTCAGACTTGCTTAACCTTCCTAACTGGGAAATGTCTAGAACTTTAATTCATATGGGAACAATATTTATATTGTATGTTTAATTTGATATTTACTGTAACAGATTTAAATAGCATCATATGATACTTAAGGCATTAGAACATACAAGTAGAAGCTAGAACAAATAGTATAACCAGTATCATTACTGTGAAATAAGCTGCTGGGTGGGAACATGAGAAACAGTTTTCTTGGATGTCACACCAGATGACAGCACACAGTACAATATTTATTTCCAATTTTCAAAATACAGGAGTGAGATGATTGAAAACTAGACCTTCGCAGTACTGCAGAGATACATATTTACAAGTGAAGAAAAGGAAAGGAACTATCAGGAGAAAGCGCCGAGCTATTACGACTATATAGTACTGGGAAGGGGTCAAGATAAGGATTTGGGATGGGACAGGGGGAAAGGAATGGTGCTCAAACACTTGGACAGTCGGGAATTGAACGCCAACCTGCATAAAGCGAGATAGTCACTCTACAACTATCTCGCTTCATGCAGGTCGGCGTTCAATCCCCGACCGTCCAAGTGTTTGAGCACCATTCCTTTCCCCCCATCCCATCCCAAATCCTTATCCTGACCCCTTCCCAGTGCTATATAGTCGTAATAGCTCGATGCTTTCTCCTGACAGCTCCTTTCCTTTCCTTCACTTGTAAATATGTGTCTCTGCAGTACTGCGAATTTACATACTGCGTATTTACAAGTGAGCAAATGTTGAATTTCTCAGCCAAAGAGGTTGATAATTACAAATCCTATTAACTATGAAACAAAACGGGATACATACTGCATACGGACACATTCTCCCTCACAGAAAAGAGCCTGCCCCATGCACTCTCTGCCTCCGGAAAGTCGAAGGTGCACTGACTAAGCACTTCCTGAGTTTCCCGTAGCCCCTGCAAACAAAATAGGCCTTACTTCCAATAAATATACAGTATATATATATGGTAATAATCATTACTGTTTGTTGTAATGTATTTAATGACAGAATACATCTTGTGATAATTATGGTCTTATAACTTCTTCAGAGAAAACCAAGGTGATCAGTACATCAATTAGTAATCATGAGAAGGATCCAACGAAACTAATTTGACAACATACACATTGGCTATAGTTTCTCATTTAACCCCTGCACTGTGCACCTGTTTTTGGCAAAAACTTCATAGTGCAATTATTAATTTAATTAAGGACATATTTTTGTTGTTTTTATAAATGGTCAGATAAAGTTAATGTCAAAATGTTTCCAAACTCAACTATTTTCATTTCAAAACACAAAGAGTAATGAAAACATTAAAATATAGACTAAGTAATAAAAAAAAATGCACAACTCTCAAAACAACATTTTTTGTTTGGCGCAGTGCAGTGGTTAACCCTTTAACTGCGCGGCCTATAAATATGACACCCCCCAGTGCGCAGGAAATAAATTCTCTTGAAAAAATTCTTTTGTTTTTTTCAAAGTGTCAAAAACCCTTCCCCCAGTATGGGTATGTCAAAAAATTTCAAACTTGTACTTACTTTGGCTGCTATGGGGTCCGTAAGTTGGCGCGTGACGTCATCATTTCCCGTTCGCCCGTGCAGTAAGCTCCCGGGGCCGGAGGGGCGCCCGGGGCGAGGCGCGTGAATTGCCGTGAATATATTTTTGTTCATTTTTTGCACACAGTTCCAAATACATTTTATTTGTTTTTACGTGCTAATCCTATGTATAATGAACACGTACACTATATTATGGCAGTAAAACATCCGTACTGTCTGAGGACACTGTGTTACGTGCATGACACTTGTGTACACATATGTTGCACATATTTGCCATGTATCATGCTAATTTATGTATATATATATTCTATTTACAGACTATACACTGTCACACAATATATACATTCACCATCAACACATTCAGAACACTGCAAGTGTGAGCAGCCACACTCAGCCAGCCCTCCCTCACTCCTCCAACATCTTACTTGCCAACATTGCTCCTTCAAATCATACAGTTATTCACACCAATGTTTCATGTTCATTTATGTATATTTATAACATATGTACACACTATACACTGTCACACACTATATACATTCACCATCAACACACTCAGAACATCGCGAGTGTGAGCAGTCACACCCAGACAGGCCCTCCCTCACTCCAACATCTTACTCGCCAACATTGCTCCTCCCACCATACTGTTATTGTATTTATTACACGATTTACACATGTTATATATACTTATCTACATGTTTTATTTACCAGAACTATGCAAGTAAGCCGGTATTGTGTCCAAACAGTACAGTGGCCACCATACACTGCATGACAAATCACACAGCAGACGACGCAACGATTACGACGTCACCTCCCTCACCAAAATAGCTCCTCACAACATACTCCTGGTGCTGTTATTACACTATTCACACACTGTATATACCCATGTATATGTGTGTTCCCCATAGCGAACCACGAAGCTAGTACGGTGAGCAAAACAAGAGTTACTGCCACACAGTGAGGCTACCTCAATTCTCTCCCTTCCTCCCTCCCTCACCAAAATTCCTCCTTCCTATGCACAATGCTAATTATAACCACAATCCTGGTCACTAATTCCTGTAAATGAATAATTGACCACACGTTTATCTTGAAAAGGAACCTAAGAAGTCATTTGAAGATTCTTAGACGGACGAAATAATGCTGTGGTACTCTGGCTAGCGCTGGGAACATTGTGAACAGCATTGAATCACTGATATTTGAACATTGCACCCAGTCATTATCACACTCAGGCTCTTCTATAGTACTATCATGGCTAAATAATACAAGTTATATATATATTTTGACATTATTAGACGATGCTGTGGTCACACGCTGAACAGCAGTGCTTTGCGCTCATGCTGTGAGCACTAGCCTTGGTTGCTCACTCACTACTGAGGCTCCCACACCCGGGAATGTGGACCACGATTTTTTTTAAAGATGGCGTCTGTTTACAAGAGCCCTGAGGAAGCTGATGTGAACCCCACGTAGCCGCGGGATTTTTGAATGGAACGTAAAAAATACAAATTCCCTGGAGGCGCGTTGGTCAAACCAGAAGTGAGCCTGCAGGCGCGTTGCGCAGTTTAAGGGTTAATATAGGCACTAGTACTGTTTCTGATATAAGGAAACAAAAAGAGCAATACCTGAAATACATTTCAACCAGTGAGAGTAAAGGTGCAAGCACTAGCAAACGGTGTGATAGAAGAACTTTGAAAACCTCGACGCATGTACAGTTGGATGAGTTTGTGTACAAGTGGTTTGCTCAGCACTGCACAGCTGGCGTGACAATTTGCGGCCCAGAAATACAAAATGCTGCAAGTAGGTTTGCAGAAAGCCTTGGAATATAGGATTTCCAAGCTAGTGAAGAGTGGGTTGCAAGATTCAAAGGGAGGCACAATATTGTGAAGAGGAAAATTGTCGGTGAAAAATTGAGTGTAGATACAAGCAGTGTAGAACCATTTAAACATAAATTAAGAACATACTTTTTGTCAAATAATTTATATTCTTATCAAATTTATAATGCTGATGAAACTGGGCTGTATTGGAGGAGTTTACCAGAAAAAACTCTAGCTATGAGGAGTGAGAATTGTGTGCTAGACCGTAAGGTTAACAAGGACAGGCTGTCAGCCATGATGTGTGCGAATGCTGACGGCACAGACAGAATCATGTGTGCAATTGTTGTCAAATCAAAGAAACCTTGAAATCAAGAGCCTTGCAACATTGGACAGACTGCCTATGAAATACTGTATTATAACTCAGAATGCATGGTTTACACAGGATATCTTTCTTTCCTGGTTTCATGGTGTGTTCTGCAGGGAAGTTCGTGACTATGAAGTTAAGAAACTCAAAATAAGGCCAAGCGAAGTTTGGGCTTTGCTGTTGCTTGATAATGCACCTGCCTACCCCCAGAATTGACATGTTAACCTCACATGATGGCAAGATAACGTGTATGGCACTTCCTCCTAATACAACCCCTCTCATCCAGCCAATGGATCAGGGAGTTATCTGTGCAATGAAGAGGTTGTACACCAAGAGGATGCTCAACGAAGTTTTGGTGATTTTTCCTCTTCCGGAAGATGTGGAACTCGGTGTAGATAACAGAGCTAAAAAAAAAAAAAAAAAACTTGAGAATTTGAAGAACTATACAATCAAGGATGCCGTCTATAACCGGGCCGAGGTGTGGAGAGAAGTAATTGACTTTGAAGAATTCCTGGAAAAAACTCCTCACATTTACAGTCGGCAATGAGGAGGATGAAGAAATGAATTTTGAAAGATTTACAGATGAAATCCATGGAATGTTCAGAAATGCTGGCAAAAACTTAGAAAGACAGGATGTGGTTGATTGGCTTGAAAGAGATGCTAATGACACAGGATATGGTGTGATAAGTGAAGACTAGATTCTCCAGTCTATTACTGGTGAGGTCGACGAAGAGGAGGAGGAAGAAGAAGGCAGTGAAGAACCAACACCACTAACCTCGAAATACAGTGTACTCATGTCCTATGTTGACGGATTAATTAATTTTTCATCCAACTGTGCTAATCCAGAAGTTGGAAACATGTATCAGTATCTGAGGCGAACCAGAGCTAATCATACAATAAGCCAATGAACACAGAAGGCCAGTTAAACTTGATTCTTATATGGTAAGAAAATCAAGCAAAACGCTTTCAACCAGTGAGGCGTCACAGGCAAACCAAGCGCCTTCAACCAGTGAGGCGTCACAGGCAAACCAAGCGCCTTCAACCAGTGAGGCGTCACAGGCAAACTAAGTGCCTTCAACCAGTGAGGCGTCACAGGCAAGCCAAGCACCTTCAACCAATGAGGTGTCACAGGCAAGCCAATCGCCTTCAACCAGTGAGGACTTTGAGGCCTCACTGGTTGGGAACAGCACACCAACTTTCTTCCATGTCATGGGAAGGCTGAACAAAAACACTGTGGTCACCTCTCTCCATCAACGAGGCGGTGACGGCCCACACAGTACCTCGGATGCTTTTCCGATGGTTCCTATATAAAAGGGGTGACGCCGAGGAAAATAAGACTCACGTCACCACACACACAAAAAAAAAAGACTACACAAACATCCCTACACATAAAAAAGTCCCTATACAAACTAAAAGTCTTGGGTTGCCTCACAGGCAACCCAAGTGCCTTCAACCAGTGAGGCTTCAGCAGCTGGCAGTCAAAACTAACTTTGCTTAATGAACTGTACAGTAATTTTACGTGTTAATTTTAGTGTTGTGTTAGTATAGGTTACATAAAATTGTCAAGAAGTCTTAACTTCAAGATGTGTGGCATCAATCAAGAAGATGAACAACAACAAGGTAAGTTAAGATTTCTAGTTGAATATTTTCTAATTATATGTGGCAAGGCAATTCAAATTATGTTGTTTGTGGTATAAAAATAGTTGGAAATGGTCACTTTTGGAATCAGAGGTGAAAAAGTACGTTAATCCGGAAAATGTGATAATCCGGCTGGGGGTCCTTCCCATATAGTCCGGATTAGCGAGTAGACACAGTACGGGTATTTCACTATCCATGTATTTAAGAGCAATTCTGAAATTGGAAAACATAGCACAGGCTCCTCGCATAATGTTTATGTGGTCTTCAGGTGACAGTTTGTTTTTTATAGAAGATCCTAGATCTAAGATCCCTTGATCTGTATCAGAATTTTGTAAAGCTTTTCCATATTATTTGGATTTTGTGCATGGTCTATTTTCTCCTATTCCACATTTCATATCATGGCATTTATTCACATTAAATTCCATTTGGCAAGTGGTGTTCCATACACTTAACACTTTCGCCCGGGCATGACGCAGCATTGCGTCATCCGTTTACTGGCGGTAATTCCGGGGAAGACGCAGCATTGCGTCATCCACTTTAAATAATCGCCAAAAATCAGGTTTTTATCCGATTTTTTTGGGACTGGTTTTAAAATGCGCGCCGATGTCTTCCCATTTTCTTTGTTGAGCCTCGTGGCCCTCAGGCAGCTTGGCACATGCCGTGGGCCCATTGTTTTCGCTCCACTGTTGTGACCAATGTCGCCTCCCCTCGCATCTCAAACGTGTGAACATTTCGGCTATTTTCCGTGGCTATATTTCTTACTGCGGCTTTAGAAACTATCTACGCTTACTCCACGACGGATAGTGATCATGAACAAGGCCCTTCCAGGAAGAAAATTGCGAAAGAAAGGCTTGAAAAGGGCGGGAATTGGGAGTGTAGCTGGAAGGCGGCTGAGCACTCACTTGCGGCTAACGCGTGGCCCGTCTTCAACTCGTCGGCGGTTGGAGCGTGACCAGGTTTTTTATTTTATATGCTAATGTTCCTCTAGAGAATTCTATTGCGAACCCATTGAGACCAAAATGAAAGACGTAGGATAAAAATTGAGGTGACCAGAGTGAAAATAGTGAAAACATTTTATCGCGTTTGCGCGCTCCTGGGTAACTCGTTCGCACTTTCTCTGTTTGCTGCGGGTAATTAGCCGGGCTTTTGGAGGTTATATGCATTTAGTGCTGTACAGAATTCTATTGCGAACACAATGATACCAAATTTAATCTCGTAGGACGAGAATTAAGGTGACAAAGTTGAAGAGAGTATACACTTTTCAGAATTTACGCGCACTCCCGTAACACCCTGGGTCCCATATCGCACAGTTGAGGGGTGGCGAACGGGGTGCACCAAAGTGTT